AGTTCAGTGCAGTTAAACAGTGAAATCAGGGTGAAGAGAGAGTTCAGTGCAGTTAAACACAGTGAAATCAGTGTGAAGAGAGAGTTCAGTGCAGTAAAACACAGTGAATCAGGGTGAGGACAGTTCAGTGCAGTTAAACACAGTGAATCAGGGTGAAGAGAGAGTTCAGTGGAGTTAAACACAGTGAAATCAGGGTGAAGAGAGTTCAGTGCAGTTAAACACTGACATCAGGGTGAAGAGAGTTCAGTGCAGTTCAACACAATGACTTCATGGTGAAGGGAGAGTTCAGTGGAGTTAAACACCTTCCTCCTCCGTTTTCCTGAGCATGGTCAGTGTATTCACTCAGCTCAACTCAGCTGTTAGAAAACTTTGATCGATGCAGATTTGTTTAAATTCTGAGTATTTTTCTTTTAATGTCAAGCATGTTTATTGCAATAAAGACTGTCAGTCTTTACAAAAGGTACAAATCCAACAATGTATTTTCTCTTGTACTTTTGAGTGCCAGGAGGGTCCTGACTCTCCTAGAACAGTTTTCAAGGAAGCTTGAAAAGGACAAGAGCAACACACACTTGCACCACACACTCCTGCTGGACACACAACAACACAGACCTGCACACACACTCCTGCTTGACACCCAACAACACACAGGCGTGCACAGATGTATGAGCTAGGTGTGGAAGTGGAGACAGCCCACAGCAGGGCAGTCACTGTGCAGGAGAGCTCCTCTATGGCAGGGATCATGTCACCACGTCCACCCGCCCCTCCGTACCCAGCTGCAGGCCAGTTCATGCTTTGTGTCTCTGAGCTTTCCTTGCTGCTACCCATACGGGCTCCTGGCTTGCCAATGCTGGGCAGGCAGGAAGGGTCTGCTGTGATCCAGGCTCTTGATTGTGTGTCTGTGTTGGAGAGGCGGAACAGATTCCTGTGGCCCCACCCCCTCCAAGACCCACAGCAGGCAGACCCCAGCTCCTATTGGGTACTGCTGCCACTGCTGGCCCCGCCCCCCCCCTCTTCCTCCTCCTCGCAGATGTCATCCATGATGAGCTGGTAGAGGTCGTACAGGCTGCCCTGGCTCAGACAGGTGGCCACCGTGGAGCCCGAGCTGGCGTGCAGGGGGCTGGGGTTCACCACCCGTGGCTTGTGATTCCTCGTCCGGCTGCGGGGGTGCACGCACTCCGTCCCGGGAACGTGGGGCTCTGAGAGACACAGAGGGAGACCCCTCAAAATAAAAGGCGCCAGGCTCGGAAATGGAGGGCCATCAGATTCCCTATTGCACAGCTGCGGAAATCCATTGCAGCAGTTCAGCACAAGACACTCTGGGTGTATTTACTCCATGTCTCTGCCTGTAGGAAAACCTGGAAGGGATCAGACTGCTGTGCAATGGGAATCCCGATGACATTCTGACAGTGCCCTTTAAGTCAAACTTGGGTTGTAAAACACTAACTTTAAAACACCATAAATGCAGGAAACTGAGTAATTGATTACAATTATAATATGAGCATACAGATATTCAGTGATACAGAGGACAGGCCCTCCCGCGGGTGCTCTCTTTACCCTGCCGGTTGTAGCAGTCCTCAGCGCAGCAGCTGTGCTGGTTCCTTTGTCTTGGGCCGTTGCTGCGCCGGGGGGGCAGGATCCGGATGGGTAAAATCGGGATGTGGCAGGTGTAGCAGGGGGAGCCTACGTCCATCCTCCCGAAACCTCTGGTGGGACAAAACGAAGTGGGCAGGGGGGAGGGGCCGTAGAGAAACACTTTCTGCCCACGACCAGACACGCCAGAATGCAGCTGCGTGTTTGTGGCACAAGGGGGCGCTAGGAAGAGAGCCCGAGCTCAGCTGGGAGAGAAAAAGCTCAACTCAGGAGTGGTCCACTTCTCACATATACAGTAGAGTGACTAGAGGAGGAAATAAGGACATTACTCTGCTGGGACTAGCCCACACAGTAATTCGAGCTGTCACTGTTGCAGAAGTGAAGTGATAAACAATGTATGTAAAAGTGCCCTACACACTGCTTTTAAGCACACGAGGTCTTTCTTTACCTGAAGGTGCGGTTACAGCGGTGGCAGTGAAACTCTGCGAGGCCCCACATTAGATTAGGGGGCACAGGGTCATACTTCGTCCTGCATCCATGACAGCGAGACACCTGGGACACACAGGGGAAACGGGGGGGAATGTTATAATAATAATAATAATAATAATAATAATAAT